GTCCTAGGATATCCTTGGGATATCCCAATATCCTGTAAGGCTTTCCTTAGGACGTCCTTAGGACAGACTTGTGCTAGCTGGGTTTTTTCTACGACAATCACAAAAATTAAATAACTTTCAACAATTCAATAATTATATAAATAATTATTTATAAAATCTGTCATCGACCAGTCTATTCTAACCTCACTTTTTAGACTCTTTATTTTGATGGTCATTGTTTCGCAGTTGACAACTGCAATTAACTTCAACCCATGACTAAAAAGTCCGAATGCCATTGCTGCCAACTTCAGCCCGTGACTAAAACGCCATAAAGCCACAACTTGTCAATGTGTATTTAAAATATCATGGAAACATGTACTATAATCGGCGTTTTAAGGGCGGGAGTTTAAAAACAATATTATATTTTGTGTATTTGTTATATGACCACAAAATATATTTTGTATACAACTGGATAGCAGCCAACTCAATACGCATGCGCAGAAATAACGGCTGGTAATTAATAATTGTTCAAACACCTTGTTTGTAAGGTATTGATACATTTAGAGTTTTATAAATAATAAATAAGGTACCCACACGGAACAATTACATCCAATGGATATCCAATGGATTTCTTTTATGGATATCCAGGATATACATAGGATATCCGGGATATCCAATGGATAACCATTGGATATATAAATGTCCGACCCTCCTGGACATAGTGTGGATATCCAATGGATACCCAGTGGATATAGTATTGTATGCAATAAGGTTGTAATCTGTATTCAATATGGAGATTGTATGGATATCCAATGGATAACCATTGGATATATAAATGTCCGACCCTCCTGGACATAGTGTGGATATCCAATGGATACCCAGTGGATATAGTATTGTATGCAATATGGTTGTCATCTGTATTGGATATGGTGAATCAATGGATATTTACTTTTCAATAAATAACATTGGGTTTTAAAATAAATAAAATTGCCAAGGTTTTACTACTACGCCAGTAGTTAGGCAACCAAAATGACAAATATTACACAAGCCTACACATCTCTCCACCGTGCCTGGCCCGAAACGCATCTCTCGGGTTGACATGGCACAATGACTAATGTAGTACCATGCCCACCAACACTGACAGACAGACTGTTTCAACCTGTTGGGTCTCATCAGTGTCAGGCAGTTGGTGCCGAGAGATACGCTTCAAGCCAAGCAACCGCCCACCTATATACTAGTTGGACGACCTGGACAGCGGCGAGATGCAGCGGCAAGGTAATATGGTGACATTTATCTTCTGTTTTCGCCGGCAGTGTTGTCAGACGTTTAAATAATTTCAGAAAGCTCATCAAAATGGCGGTTATATTATTAAAGCTTTAATACTTAATTAATTAGTATAGGGTAAGGTGGGGCAGGTTCGGACACGTTTTTTCAAAAATTAATATTTCAAAGATAACAAATTTTTTTAGACTTAATCCAAATACTACGGATAGCTTAGTCTATTTCCAACATTTTAGCATTATCTTAAGCAAAAAATATTAAGTGGTTTTCGTTTGGTGATATTTTACTTAAAAAAATGCATTTGTCCGAATCTGCCCCATATTGGGGCACATTCGGACAAGTAGTGAGGTACTTTCGGACAAGCCTGAGAAAATTTAGAACCTATTTATTTTTAGAATGAATAAGAGACTATATTAGAAAAAGTTTATTAAACATTATAACCATCAAAATTGACATTAAATTTAAAGAGCGAACACATCCTTAAAGTTCCTAGGAACACCAGCTGGTGCTGCCTCTGGTGCTGCTTCGGTATTTTCGAAACTATATCTTCTCTGGAAACAGTCGAAATATCTTGCAAGTCCGGAAAGCGGAAACCGCTTTTATACTTCCTCAAAAAATTTAAGACGTAAGAGCCTTCATTATTGCAAGATTCTACCTTGCCGATATAATGAAGTGTCCTTCTGTTGGTCGGGTATTTGACAAGCAAATAATCATGACAATGGATCACGTCATCATGCAATAGCATGAGCACATCGTCATTGTCTTGAAACTCGTCCAGAGAATCGGAATCAAAAATTTTTGTCTCATGCACAATATTCTGTGGTAAATCTATATCAGAATCCAAGGAGTCACTTTCTATTTTTTTTAACTTTTTCTTCGGCGCCTTTCCTTTGCTCTTCTCCCCAACTTTTGTATCATTTTTCTTCACTTCACATTCGCTTTGTAATGCTTTTCTTTTCGTGTTTTTTTTCTCCAACTTTTGTTTTCTCATTGTTTCCAATTCTTGAATTCTTTCCTTTTCCGGTGTGCTTGTATAAATTCTGGATTTACCTTTTACCTTTTTTCTTTTTAAAATAGTTACGTACCATCCCAGAAAGTTAAATCAATCAAAACTGGGTTTTATTTGTAAAATGGGGCACATTCGGACAGTCCGAAGCTGCCCCACCCGATTTGTCCGAACGTGCCCCATGTTCCAGAAATACATAGATATTAAAATAAAAATTCGCACATGGTTAACTGATGCTGTTTTATGAGGTTATGTATCGCCAAAGATATTAATATCTGCGGTAAAAGGTATAAAACTTACCTTACTGGTGTTCTCAAGCCAAGAAAGCTTACGATAGCCCTAATAAAATTTATAAGAATAACTATGTTTTTATATTTTCTCAAATAAATAGTTGTCGAGTGATCAAAGTCGCTAAACATGTACGGACCACAGAACTATTAGTGTAGAAGGATATTTACTGTCAATATGGAAACTCTCGTAGCACTTTAAGGCGGTAAATTTGATTTGTCCGGAGGTGCCCCATGTCCGAACCTACCCCACCTTACCCTACCTAGTATACCTATTTGACATAAATGTGGTGAATAATTATTTTAAATTTATTTAATTTATTTATTAAAACTTAATAAAGTACGGAAATATATTTCGTTTAGTTATTTTGCTTATAACCGGCAACACTGAAGATTCTCAAATTCAGCGCGTGCGTAGTACATATATGAAATACAATAATAAACAAAAAGGACTTTTTTAAGTAATTTTTTATTGTATTGCAGACTGTCATAGTCATATTATTAACAGAAATAATATTATTAATATATAAATATTATTATCTGGGTAAAGTGAACATTTCAAAATTAAAAATTTCGTAGCTCTTGGCAAAAAATCAATTTAACGTAAAGTCGTTTTTTTTTACATATGCTAGTTTAAACCATCACAAAATCCCACATGTATACATACAAGTATATATACAAGATATCCATATCAGTTATCCACCGGATATCCAGTGGATATCCAGTGGATATACATTAGATGTACAGTGGATATACTTTGGACATACATTAGTTATCCATTGGATATATATTAGAGATACTTTGTTGAAATTGGGTTAATAACGATTTAAATCATATTTATTAATCATTACATAAATTTATCCTATAAGGGGCTATTTTAAAAAAGAAAAAAATATTTTTAATGTTTTTGTTTTTTTTGAACATCCAGTATGGATATCCATTGGATATCCAATGGATATCGTAAAAGGCATGGATGTTATATGGACATTGGGATAGCCATTGGATATCCATTGGATAGCGTGTTCTGTGTGGGCAATATCCTGTAAGGCTTTCCTTAGGACGTCCTTAGGACAGACTTGTGCTAGCTGGGTATCTAGTATATATATAGATATATATATCTATATATAGATATATCTTGTATTAGACATTAGTAAGTCCCGAGTACGTCCGAATCAGGTCCTGAAACTTCCCCAGGACGTACCAGGGACATCCGCGATGTTACCAAACCGTCGGTCCCCAGAACGTCCTAAGTAAGACATCCACTGGCCGTCCTAAAATACTTTATTGGGGATTATTGGACAAGCTCTACAAAATTAAAGAGTGTTATTCCCAAAGGGTCTAAGTGACAAAAATAAAATTGTGAGTTATCAATGTAAAACAAATATTTTGTACGTACCGAGTATATCCGCTTTAATTTTCCCAAATAAGTAAGAGACTGGACGTATCCAAAACTTCCGATATAGGTCTGGGACGTTCAGACCTATGTGGGACCCAAAATGGACGTCCTGGGTACCTCTTGTGCTATCTGGGTAATCAGTAAGTAAAGAAAACCTTTTTCAAATATCTATGTTTATGTATGTAAGGTATTTTAATTTTACAGGGGGGCCCCTCTTGCCCTCCTTTTTACCGGGCCAGGGCCCACCAGTACCATGCGGGACTCCCGCAGCGGGAGACATGATTAGAGTCCCCATATACTAATGCACAACCCTGTGTCCTAAAATGTCGCACAAATAATAATAATAACGCATTAATGCTCCTAGGGGCAAATATCGAATTGCCCTAATGTATGCCCATTTTTAAGTCGCAGGGTGGCGTATTAATTAATTAATGTTTTAAACAGTTTTAATCAAATAAATAATCGCTATAATAAATTAAAGACAAACCATTGATTTTTCACTCAACGGACAAATTATATAGGCATTGATTAATATGTACTACTTTTTACTCAACGATATACCTAGATAACGTAGATTATAAAGAAAGGTACGATTTTGTTACAAGACTTTACCGTTGAGTGAAAAGGATCTCCCAATGACCGTTGTTTTTAAAATTTTGGCATTGTTGGTTGCCTAAATTCGGCAATAAAATTGATGAGCGCTGATAATATAAATATTTTGGAAACCAAAAGATTATAAACATCTGTATTTCTAACTAATTATAGTCTAATGTTTTTAGATAATAAATTTAAAAAATTTTCACTCCACAATAAAAAATCGCTTTTTAAATAAACAAATAGGTAGGTATTTTAGATAGATAAGTATTTACAAATTCCCAGGTATATTTTATCTGCGATGTGCCAACAGATTTTACTATTAAAGAATAATTTGTGAGTAGTTTTAATTTTTTAAAAGAAATACGACAATAAACTGCAGCCGTTTTAAGAAATATGATTCATAGGAATTCATCACAAAATATTTCATAGTTGGCGCCAAGATCACGTGGCGTGTCCTTGATACTGGATTGCCTCTTGTCTCACGCAAATAAAAAATGGTGGTTACTGATCGTTCTGTAAAGAAACTTTAACTTAAAATGTATAGAATTCAAATGGTTGTGATATCTAGTTCTGATTTTGTATAGAATATAAGTTTAGTACAGCAAGGTATGTGTAAAATTTGATTCTTTAAGTTATCTTATGGGCGGGTGTCTAGTAGCTGTTGATGTTTAGCTGTTTATTATGGGTGTTGCACACAGAACATGTTGCATATTTCTGTCATACCTACTTCGCAAATCGCCACCCGCAATTTGTATGAACCCATTCAATTTTCTGCTTTTATTATGCACTTGTCCTCAGTAGGATTTCTGCTTTACGAAATCGTTCAATATACCATTGGGGAAGTAGGTATACTTATACGAGTTTTTCGCAAATCTAGATCACCAAAGTCAGAGCAACATGTGACCCCATTCTCATGATTATACCCTTATCATTAAAGCAACCCTTCCCTTGGAAATCCAATAATTATTTAAAAAATGTATTAAACTGGTCCCAGACCTTACTCATTATTTTGATGAATAACTATGTAATGGAAAGTCAGTTAGTTCTAAGTAGTATATTAAATAATATATTATATTGTTTACCTACATACCCATAAATATTATATTATTGTGTATAGGTACCTATACATTTTTAAATCTTTGTTTATTTTTTTATGTCTTCATTTTTGCTTGTACAGGGTGATCCCCTATAATGTCGCCCCCCTTTAACTTTTTTATTTTAAGTGTCCCAAAAATTTAAAAGTGTGGTTATGTAGGTACTAAAAAATACTTTTTTTCTACGTATTAAAAAAATTGAAAAATTGATCAATATACAGGGAAAAACAAAAAGTTTATTTTTTTTCAATGGATCACCCTATAGGTATATGAATTTATTTTTCGATTCCTTGTAAAATTCTGAGCATAATTCATATAACAAACCATATCCTAAATTCAACTGTTTTTGAAATATTCGCATTCGAAATGTTATCATTAAATGGTTTTTTAAACTGTTAGAAATCAAGAAGCCTCAGTATACCAAAATTTTTATTGAAAATAAATTATTATAGTGACATTATGTCAATATGTCTTGTTAAATAAGTAAAAATGGCCTACTCAGACAGAGAAAGACAAACTATTTCAACTTATTAAAAATAATTTAAATATTTCGGAAACGGTTGAATTTAGGTATATGGTATGTTATATGAATTATGCTCAGAATTTTACAAGGAATCGAAAAATAAATTCATATATAGGGTGATCCATTGAGAAAAAATAAACTTTTTGTTTTTCCCTGTATACTGATCAATTTTCCAATTTTCTTTAAACGTAGAAAAAAGGTATTTTTTAGTTCCTACATAACCACACTTTTAAATTTTTTGGGACACTTAAAATAAAAAAGTTAAAGGAGGGCGACGTTATAGGGGATCACCCTGTACCCAAAATTTTTCAAATATTACTTTGACTGTTTACCTAAAAAAAATTGTTAAAACTGCTTTTTCACTATATTTTTCTAGGATAATTTGCCGACAAGTAAGTAAATTTATTTAACACCCAGTTCATTTCTTAACTTTAACCAGTGAGTAAAATAGCATTTTGCTCACAGGCTGAAGTTAGCTTTAAGTTAAAATTTAAAAATGTGAGGTTAAAACTGCTTGACAGCTGTCAGATGTCAAAAGTCAGATAAAATATTAAATTAAATTGGCTTTAAATTCCTTGTGACAGTTGAAAAAAATATTCTATGCAACTATTGGTTAAAAGAGTAGATTCCACTGGAGGATCTCCTCTTTCTCCCACTAGTTGCACAATATACTATTTATACTCAAAACTGAATAACATAAAATTCTCATAGTACCTATATGTATAAAACGTCAAAAATATACAGGGATGTTACTCATCATTTGATGAATAACTACCTATGTAATGTAAAGCCAGTTAATTTTAAGTACATTAATCACAGTAGTATTTAATTAATATTCTAATAACAATAATTTTTTTACAGGAATGCACAAATAGGATAATATGCTCAGTGGAAAAAGATTTTTAGGCAAACTAAAAATAATAGTGTATTTTGCTAAAACATGTGTGTGTATAAAAGACTCTATATAATGCAATTAATGCGTACAAAAAGTTTAACTCAGTCGCGATATTGGATTAAATAGGAAGTGATGTAATCAATAAACATGATGCCCTCAACAGAAAATAATAGGCACATTGTGCAGGTGTACGTAGGTGCCCTGTCTGCCCTTTATGAAGCATTGTCTGTGGAAGCCAGTAAGCAGACAACTTCTGAGGAAATAGTGTCCTGTATTGTAGATAGGCTAAATTTAAGTGAACAGTCAGTTTATGAAATTGCTGAAGTGATTGGATATGACTTTGGACAGGAATGCAAGGAGAGGAGCCTGTCCCCGACAGAGAGCCCAGTTCAGCTGATGATGTTATGGCCTCAAAATAGATCAGACAATATTTCATACAGGTTTTATCTTAGAGAGAAGACCAATGATTTTGGCTGTTATGAGAATTATGTGATGGATCCCCAGTTGATCAAAGACTATTTTCATAGGTTTTTATATCAGCCCAAAGACAGAGAGTATCCAGATTTATGTCAACTGCCTGACTTAAATGAACTGACTCTCTTGGACAATCTTAGAGCCCGTTTTGTGGCTGGGCACATCTACACCTATGTTGGCTCAATACTCATTGCTCTCAACCCATTTAAGTTCTACCCTATATACAATCCAAAGTATGTAAAATTATACCAAAACCGAAGACTCGGACCAAATCTGCCTCCACACATATTTGCTGTAGCTGATACAGCATACCATTGTATGTTAAAGGACAGGAAAAATCAGTGTATTGTTATTAGTGGTGAGAGTGGCTCAGGAAAGACTGAAAGCACTAATTTTCTACTGCATCATCTAACTGCTCTAAGTCAGAAAGGTTCTCATGGTAGTGGAGTTGAACAAACTATTTTAAGTGCTGGACCTGTTCTAGAAGCCTTCGGAAATGCCAAAACTGCCCATAACAACAACTCAAGGTAAAAACACAGTACCAGTTTTATTTTGGGGGTAATATCCTTGTCCAGTTGATATTTTGGGGGTAATATCCTTGTCCATTATTACTTAAAATATAAACAAATTTGCAAGTTTTTTTGCTTACAATTTTAAAAAATAATCATTTATTTAAATGTTCTAATAGGTTTATAAAAAAACGTCATTATTTTATATTTGAATGATTCATTCAGCAGATCAATTAACTAATTATTTGGAGTATAAACAGTGTGAGTAATGTGTTCATTAAAATAAAACTCTTCAATAAATGTTCTACAGTCATTTATAAATTTAAACATACTCAAAATTCCAATCTTATTTTTGCTGTTGGATTTTTTGTTTTTGTTATTCAATTTTTTTTGGTCTTAAAAAAGTTCTTGGGACAAAAAAGATAAAATATTACATGCTCAATTTTTAAAGGTTATTATCAAAATTAAAATGTTAATATGAGAAATTAAGTATTTATACCTATATAAATTTTTATCTTTGATTGAAAATATTCTTGATAGGTAGTATATAAAAGATTGTGTGATCTAAGTCACTTGTGATTGATTTATTTTAAAGCTTTTACAATATACTGTGTGCAATTTGGGCGCCTCTTGAATTTTTGACATAATTGTCATTTACATGGCGCATTATTTATTTTATCAAATTTAACATTTATTGATACTTTAATTATATTAAAAGCCCACCTGTAAAACAAAAACAAAACGTAAGCGGTACTTATTTAAATTTATAGATTAAAGGCGTAAATTTGTAAATGCTTCAACGGCTTGCGGAAGGAAGGAAATCAGGTTTACATCCACATCTTAACATGTTTACGAACATCGAAGTGGTTCCCTCAATGCACACGGTATATTGTGGAAGCTTTAAAATAAATCATTCACAAGCGAACTTAAATCAAACAATTAAAATCTTTTATATATCAAGAAAATTTTCAATCAAGGATGAAAATGTTTACAAACATCGCAATGGCGCCCTCACTGCACACGGTATTTGTGGAAGCTTTAAAACAAATCAATCAAAAGCGAACTTATATCAAGAATATTATCAATCAAAGATGAAAATTTATATATAAACACTTAATTTTATATTGGCCCGTTTGGCCTCATTTTAAAAACAAATGTTGATGTATTATTTACTTTCTTATAAATAAATTAAAAAAAAAAGGTTTCTAAAGAAGTATAGGTACCTAATAGAGGAAAGTGTTTTTGTAAGAAAATAACAAATTATGTCTTAAATATTACACAGTGCAACAGCATAAAAAATGATGGGGTTCTGAAAGTGGTTACGTTTCTAATATCCAAAAAATGCCTTTTTGCGTTTACAGAATGTTTAGATTGATTCAGGTTTTTTTTTAATATTGATTTTAAGTTTTATTAATTTTGGAACCCGAAAAACCGTTATTTATTAATTTAAACCAATTAACTGGTAGGAAATTGTTGTCATAACAATAAATTAAAAAGAAATAATAAAACAAAAATTAAAAAAGGGGGTAAACATGTCACTAAAAGTACATTTGCTTCATGCACAACTTGACCTGTTCGAAAATCAGCTGTCCACTGAATCAGAAGAGCATCAAACAATAATGGAAATGGAAAATCGTTATAGAGGAAAGAGGTTTGATTAGATGTTGGCAGATTTTTGTTGGTTTATGGCAATGGAAATTTTTTAAAAGAATATGTTTTTATTAATTAATATAATAATAATAATTACCTTAATTATTATTATGGTAGAAGCGAAAGAACTAAGAAATTGCACTACAACATATTAAATCCAGAAAAAGGTTCAATTTAAAAAAAAATTGCAATTTATTGTTCTCATTATTTTTTTATTTAATTATTTTTTCTATATTTGATTGTTATTACTTTATAAAACAATATACAAAACCAATAATTATCTTTTATGTACTAATTATTTATTATTTTACGATATTTCGGGATCCAGAATTACTAAAACTTTAAATTGATATTAAAAAAAAAACAGAATCAATCTAAACATTCTGTAAACGCTATAATTCATGATTTTGATTGTAGAAACCGAAAATACTTTCAGAACCCCATCATCTTATTTTTTTTCAAAAATGTTGCACAGTGTTATTTAACTGGTTACAGTTAATTTTAATTCGCAATTGCATTAAAGCAATAATTGCTTTTCAAAAATGTGTTATGACAACTAACGTAATTTTGCCATTTTTCCTTTGCAGTTTTGCGTTTTAAAAAACCCGTTTTTAATTGGAATGAAGGTATTGAAGCGCATTTCAGCCTTTTGGTTTCCATTTATCTACGATGAAATTAATTAATTACTTGATATTATATTATATTTTTAAATATATTTCTTTTAATTTAATTTTAAACTAAATATAGTTTTTACTGCGCGTGATTAAAAAGCAAAAATAAATAAATCCAAAGTATTAAGTGTCACCCAATATTATCTACATATTACTTACAAAATAGATATTTTGTTTTTTAAAATATTATTCTTAATAATATAAATTTTACAAAACCTGTTGAAGTTGTGAGTAGGAAATGCCTACATATACCAAGCATATAATTGTTTAGATCTTAAGGTTGTTTTGGAATATAAAACAAAAAACAATATTTAATAAATAAAATTAAAAAAATCTTTATTGGTTTTTCAAAATGCAAAAATTTATTTATATTTTAGAGTTTAATAAAAATTGATTCACATTGAAAAGTTTTAAATTATAATTATCATTATTATTAGTTACTTGACCAATATAATTGCATGTTAAAAATATTAATTAAAATTATTCTTAAATAAGTAAGCCTTTAAATAAGCATGTCCCAGGGCTCCCAGCAGGTAGTTTTTTTAAAGACTTGTCTATATTTTTGTCTTAAGTCTATAAAAGTCTATTTTTTTACCTAAAGTCTATAAAGTCTATATTTTCTGTTAAAATCAACCATTAAAAAATATTTTTTTAAATATAAATATTCACAGTTTTATAAATATCGAAACCACAGTAAACCAAGTGAAACATTCGAAAACTTCGCAGTTTACATTTAAAGTTCCCGCCGTCCAGACCCGAACCGCCCGCCAAAATTATTGCTGAATTGTTTCTGGTTTGGTCTAGGGTTTCGTTTACGTTTATAGTTTCGGTTCGCTATAGCGAACCTATAGGTTAACACTAGCTATATATGCATTTTTCATGAAATTAGTAAGTACCTAGTATCTATCAAAGAACATATGACAAAGAATGTGTTCCTATTCTATGTTTTATCATCCATTCCATAACCCTAAAAAATTATGTTCAGACGATAGCAAAGGCAAGTGTATAACTATAGTTTTGATTATTAAAAATTATTCATTTATATTATTTAATAAAAACAAAGTTTAAATGTACTTGTACTGACATAAAAAAATTAAATTGAATGATTAAGGAAGTGTGCCGAAAATAAAAAAATGACTAAAATATGTATGGCTCAACTAATGTTTGAAGGAGTGAACCATCCCAAAAAAGAAGCGGGGAAGGTAACTTACAAGATTAGTCGTCTAGCCCAAGATTTAGAAAAACGAAAGGCGAAAATTATAGATCAGCTGCAGCCCACCAAAAAAAAAACCCCATTAAATGACTGATGCCAGTGCCTTTTATATAAATGTAATTCTATTTATTATAAGTTATAATTTATTACAGAATTTAATTTTTTTTTGTTATTTATGTATTTTATACCAGTTATGGTTACTTGTTAAATTTAATTCAATAAAAATTTATAATTTCAAGTTATCTCTATGTATTTTAAATTCAAATTTAGATCTTTTATCCCAAAAAAAATGGATACCTCCATTTTATAGTTATTTCGGTAATTAATTTGGTCTATATTTGGTCGTTTATTTTTTATTATTAGTCTCTTAAGTCACTATTTCTCGCAACATGGACTGCTGGGAGCCCTGATGTCCCTTCAATTCGGCAAATCGTGATAATTTTGCTACTTAAGTGTAAAATTAAATTCAAAGTAAATTCCATTATTTCAAAAAATAATTTTTAAGTATTACTTACTTATTACATAACGAATACTCCTCGGAATACCCTAAACTAAACTGGCCTAAGTAGGTAGATACCGTAACTTTGTACAGTTCAGTTGCAATTTAACTTTAATCAAGGTTCAGTTGCTTAGTTACAATAGTTTGAGCAAAGCTTAAATGTAATTGAAAGCTAAACTCGAATTGCAAAACAGGGGCTTGAATTGTACAACAGAGTTTCATTAAAATCATAAAGGCATATGGAGGTAAAAATTTAAAAATTCATTAAATGAAAAAGTTCAACTTAACTCTAACTATCTAGGATGTAGGACTAGGTATGACTTGAAAATGAATTATTTAGATGTCTTATTATTTCTTAAAAATCTTTACTTATTAATTTAAAAAAAAATACTGTCAAATATAAAGATTTTTTGAGTATCTGGAGAATAAATCCAGAGAATTATGCCATACCAAATATTAGATTATATATAGGTACGCATTAAATGACTCTAATTCGGTACCTCAAAAAAGGGCAACCCGAGGTTCAGCTGCAATTGGAACCTTGCTCGGAATCGAACGATTTTGAAGGATCAAGGCATAATACAAAAATTATATTATGTATATACAGGGTGTTTCTTTTAACTTGAGACAGCTCAATATCTCGAGAAATACGCATTTCACGGAAAAATGTCTTAAATAAAAGGTTAATGTGACTAAAGGGGACATTATTTGGTGCTACCGCTAGCCACCCCCTACCCCTCCTTAAGGGTGAAACGGGGGGTAACTTTGGAAAGTCAAATGAAATGACCCGATTTTTTTCACAGAGTTTGGTAGTAAATAAAAAAATAAATAACTTTTATTTAAAACTTTTTTCAATTTATCAACAGATGGCGCTGTAATTCAAAATTTAAGAAAAATGAGTTTCCTTGTAAAATGTATTATTTGAAACGTTTGAAAAATAAAAATTAACATTAACAACAATAGTCGGCTATGAAAACAATTTATAACGACGCTGGTGCTCAACTTGGTGTCGATATGGAAGGACGACATTTCGAATATTTGTTATAAATTGTTTTCAGAGCCGACTATTGTTGATTTAATGTTAATTTTTGTTTTTCAAACGTTTCAAATAATACATTTTACAAGGAAACCCCTTTTTCTTAAATTTTGAATTACAGCGCCATCTGTTGATAAATTGAAAAAAACTTTCAAATAAAAGTTATTCATTTTTTTATGTACTACTCTGTGAAAAAAATCGGGTCATTCCATTTGACTTTCCAAAGTTACCCCCCGTTTCACCCTTAAGGAGGGGTAGGGGGTGGCTAGCGGTAGCACCAAATAATGTCCCCTTTGGTCACATTAACCTTTTATTTAAGACATTTTTCCGTGAAATGCGTATTTCTCGAGATATTGAGCTGTCTCAAGTTAAAAGAAACACCCTGTATACATAATATAATTTTTAATATACCTAATATATTATATATTGCAAAGTGATTGGTAGAATTGTAGACCTTTATTTGCGAAAACCATTTTGGGATTCAGTTATGACAAGTTACTTTTTAACAATTTAAAAAGTCTGTTGTAAATTATATTGCTTAATAATGCCATTGTTGTATACCTTTTGTTGCCTTTCTTATAACTTGCATTAATTTCAGGGTTTTTTTGAGGAAATGCTCCTTTTTCAAGAACTAATTGATTACATGGAAGGGATTATTTATTTAAAATTCCCATCGATTGCAAATAACTTTAAATAACAATTATTCAAAAACAAAATCTTTTATTCAAAATCATATTTTTATATTGTGTTAAAGTGACTGCTCTAAATATTTAATATTTTTTAACCCATTGAGCTTAATTGATAATTATATTTATAGCCGCGATAATTATGCAGAATGGAAAAGCAACAGCATCAGTAGCAACAGTTTGTTATTGGGAAGTCGTTTTGTTAAAGAGACGAATCAAGATAAGCACTCTGCGAAAGCAATGCCACTTGCTATTTATTAATTGAATTCAAAACGCCGGTGCACAATACACCGTTGTTTATAAATAGTACCTGCTATTGTTTGCGATTTGCGTGTTATGTCACTATTTAATATTATATTCCAATTATTAAGACTTATATCGCAAAGGAGGGTCGCAGAATTATCCAGTAGGCCTGGGTACGGTTTCGACCGTATTTTTTTTATTCTGAGACGGTGGTTTTTAATTATCGGAAAGATTATGAGATCTAAGAAATTATATTTTTTACAAAATAAAACAAAATATTTTTTGTGCAGTAAATTGATTTGTTTGTAGTCGTTTCGGGAAGTTTATCCAAGTCAACTACAAGGAAAATGGCATGGTGCACGGCGCAGTCGTGCAAAAGTATCTTCTGGAAAAATCAAGGATATGTTCGCAAGGTAGAAACGAACGTAACTACCACGTGTTCTACTATCTACTGGAAGGTGCCAGCGTTCAAGAGAAAAAAACCCTCCATCTAAAATCGCCTGATCAATATTACTATCTAAACAAATCTTGCTTGGCATTGGATAATGTAGATGAAAACTACGAGTTTTCAAGACTGAAACAGTCGATGGAAATGGTGGGATTCACGCCGGAAAAACAAAGAAGACTTTTTTCTGTTTTATCTGCCGTTTTGCTTTTGGGCAATGTTGAATTCCAACCAAGGAAGTCGGCTTACCACCATGATGAGGCGGTTGGGGTTAAAAATCCAGAGGTAAATATATATTTCTACATAAATAGAAATAAATTTAATATATTATATTAACCGATATTAACTTAAGTTTTGTTTTTACAATATTCAAATTTCACCAATGGCTCAGAATTCGTGAAATCAGCCCGATAAAGATGACTATCAATATATTTTTTTAATGTTAAAATCGACCAAAACATTTATTATTATTATTCTTGAACAGATCGATTTTAAAGAAACTTTGGCTTACTAAGGTAAAGAAATTGACCATGGAACTTGTTCTAAAATTTACAAAAAATTAATTTTTTTATAATAATTTATCAATTTTTTTTATAAACAATTGATTTTTTTTCGTGTTTTGTACCTTTTATAAATGTGAAAAAAATGCCACTTCGCAAAATAACTTTAATGAATTTATATTCAGATTTAGATCTGTCGAGAAAAAATCCGAGCGGCAATTATCTTAGGAATTATGATTAAAATAATGCTGCGCAGCATGGTTTTTTTATACCCTTTTTACTTAATACAGGGATGATTAAAAAAATTTTTACTAAAAAAAATCTTTTTTACATTTTTGCTTCAAAAATAAGAATCGCAACTGTATAATGCTCAGTTTTGTTGTAAAGACAGTTTTTTAAGATTTTTAAAAGGTCCAGAAAACGAAACAAAATTAATTATTTACAAAGTTTGATAAATTATTATGAAAAAATTAAACTTTTGCAAATTTCAAAACAATTTATAAAAGTCAATTTTATTAATTTCAATAAGATAAAGTTTCATCAAGAATAACTAGATTTTGTTTAAAAAATTATTTCATTTGACAATAGCTTGGCTAAAAAATAAAATTTTTATGGTCAAATACAGTTTTTTCAACATTTCGACAAAAAACAATGATATCAATTTTGTACAACTATCTACATCTACATCAGGACAACTTTAATATTAACAAACATTTCGGTTTCCGTTTACCTTTAAAACCGACTAATTGATAAAAATCAACACGAAACAATAACATTTTTATAGTTAAATTTAAGAACTGTTCAAAAAACATCTTTAAGAAGTTACATGGGTTTGAAGGTGAAAAAATCGTATTTTAAATGTAATAAAGGAATTGCTTTTTAGACTTTTAAAAATGTAAAAAAAGAACATTTGAACTATATTTTTATTTATTTAATAACCCATTTAGCAGTATAATATGTAAGTACATGCGGAAAACCATGCTTACTAGATGTGAAATAACTGAATTCCAGAAATACATACATTCCTAAAATTATTGTAAACAAAATTAAAAACCAAATTTTAAAAAGTTTTTTTCAAAAATTTTAAACATTTAGCCCTTGTCCTAACTCATTATAGCTTTATACAAAATCAAAAAAACAAATATATCCTCTTAATAGTCGAGTACCTATATGATATAGGCTATATTTTTTTATTTTGATTTTTGAGATTTGTTTGCGTAATTTAGACATTGTAAAATTGGCTGTGATCAAAGAAAAAAAATCTTTTGATCATTTTAATGAGATTGGTTAGGATTGGTGAATTGGTTTAGAAATCAACTTCAAAATTAGAGTTTTGAGTAAAAAGTAATGGGAGGAGTTTTCAAAGGGCGGAGTTTTCAAAGGCCCCATATATGTATCTCCTTCCATTAGGCTCGTTTTATTACTAATTAAAATCGCTTTTTTCTCCCACACTCTATTCTTAATTCGATTGACATTGGGAAAATATTCTTGACATTTTCTACCTACTATTAGACAATCCACACAACAAGGTCTGTTCTATCTCATACTAAAAATACAAAAAATCACTGCAACACTGCACAGTTTAACGGCGGCCATTTTTGTTTTTTACAATTTTTGTGCTTTGGGTTTGTGCTCTGTTTATACAGATTTATAATCGTTTTAAACGTTGTGTTTCTCATAGTAAGCCTTAAAAGAGGCCTTAAAGTGCTAAGAACAACATTTTACTCCTATTGTAAAAAATAAACTTTATTCTATCAGGGCTGTCATAAAACTGTCAAATGTCAATTTTAAGGTTAAATTATAACCCACAAATTAACCTTCAAATTGTCATTTGACAGCTCTGATAGAATAAGGTATATTTATTATAAAAGAGAAGTAAATTGGTTGTCCTTAGCACTTAAAGGCTTTATTTGAGGCTTACAAGTGCCTCTGTAAGAAACACAACATTTAAAACAATTATTAAACAGCACAAACCCAAAGCACAAGAATTGTAAACAACAAAAATGGCCGCCGTTAAACTCTGTGTAGTGTTGCAGTGATTTTTAGTATTTTTAGCATGATATAGAACAGACCTTGTTGTGTGGATTGTGCTATTAGATAAAAAAATTCAAAACCCATGTAACCTCTAGCTATACATTTTCTATTTAGGTTGTGGCATTAATCTCGGAACTGCTAAGAGTAAAGCAAGAAACACTCATGCAAGCATTGACGGCCAAAAGGGCGAGAGCTTCTGGCGAAACTCTAGTTATTAGCTACAGGTTACCCGAAGCTATAGCTAGTAGAGACGCGATGGCCAAATGCCTGTACGGCGCCCTCTTCGACTGGATAGTCCTCCAAGTTAACCACGCGCTACTTTCTAAGAAAGACACTTTGAGAGAGCACCAGGGCAATTCCATAGGCGTCCTGGATATCTTTGGGTTCGAAGATTTTGGTGTTAACAATTGCTTCGAGCAGCTGTGTATAAACTATGCGAACGAACATCTGCAGTACTATTTTAACCAGCACGTCTTTAAGTATGAACAGGAGGAGTACAGGAAAGAGGATATTCGTTGGAATAACATCGATTTTATGGATAATACTGGTTGTCTACAGCTCATTGAGGGTAAACCTCATGGTTTACTGTGTTTATTGGATGACCAGTGCAAGTACGTAATACTTTGTTATAAGGTTGTAAAGTGACTTCTTGTACGAGCCCTAACACAAAAATGTTTGGACACTTCATAATTTATACAGAAATATTTTTCGTGAATACTATCTCAAAATTATTAGAAGTTATGAAAAATTCAGCTCATTTTAGCATATACCCCTCGAAACGATTTTTATTTTTAAAAAGTTTACCTTTTATTTTTAGCTTTTAAAAAAAGGCTAACTTTTAAACTTTTTTTTGTATGAGTAAAAAAAGTTATAAATGGACCCATTAAAAAGAGCATAAAATATTATACAAACCCTGAAAATTTGGTAAAAAATAAATTAGTTATAAAAAAGTATAAGTAATTTAAAAATGCTATTTTTAAAGAGTTTTTGCAATTTTCTTAGGAAACGGGAGATTTTGCAGATATATATATATATATCGTTATAACTTTCTTATTATTTATACAATTTTTACCAAATTTTCAGGGTTTGTATAATATTTTATGTTCTTTTTAATGGGCCCATTTATAACTTTTTTCACTCATACAAAAAAAAGTTTAAAAGTTAGCCTTTTTGTAAAAGCTAAAAATAAAAGGTAAACTTTTTAAAAATAAAAATTGCTTCGAGGGGTATATGCCAAAATAAGCTGAATTTTTCATAACTTCTAATAATTTTGAGATAGTATTCACGAAAAATATTTCTGTATAAATTATGAAGTGTCCAAACATTTTTGTGTTAGGGCTCGTAGTATGTTTATAAGTACTGTCGTCTTGATTTTTTATTTTTTTTTTACAAAATGAATTAAAGTATTTTTTTATAATTTGTCAAAGTATTCCATGATAATCTATCAAACTAATTCTTATGAAGAACAAGATAAATTGTTTCTTTGCATTTATAATGTTTACTTAGCTTAAATATTTCACAAAGGTTAAAAATGTTTTTTTATGTTATATTGTCCTTACTTACCACCCTTAAATAAAAACTGCCATAAGTCATTACCCAGATAAAATGAAAAATAATATTTTAGGTTATTATAATCTTGTGAGATTAAAGTTGCGGAAATAACAACCGAAATAACGATAAAAGCTTCCTATTTTAACTATCTGAAGGATATTTAATACTCTGTTTACATTTTAAAAAGTATCCAATATTTTTAAACAAATTCCTGGCTGTATAAAAATACAAGTGCATTAATATTAAAGTTAAAAATAAACTGTAGTGTTTACTGGATAGCATTATATTTAAATTTTCTATTAATTACATTTTAAATAACATAACAAATTTATTCGTAAATATTTAATATTACTGTGTGAAATAATTGTTTCAAAAATTGCCGAGTTTACGTGCCAAAACATTTTGTAAATCACTTTTAACAATTTAGAGAACATTTGCCAAACAACTAAATATTCTCTTGGAATTTCTCACCTGTTAAAAGTAAATATTTTCATATTGCTACTGTCAAAGTGCTATTTACATTACTAGCTATGCTTATTTGTTGATTGAATTATTATAATAATTAAATTCTATTCTATTTTTATTTTATATAATTTTAGAATAAACACGTTTAAGTTTTATTAATTCACACACATTAAAAAATCGAGCTCAGGCTCGCGTCTCATAAAGATATAAAGATCTCAATTCTATTGTATGTAAATTCATATTTTAAGTAGGTATTAAAGTTTTTATTCAAATTAAGACTGCTCTGTAAAGTAATTTTGTATTAAAATTTCAATAAAAATCAAATTTTTTGCCATTTATGTGATTATCTGGACATGCTTTTATTTACATACAATTTAATTATCAATAATATTTTTACGGCCATTCCCACGCTGATTTATTTAAATGCTTGCACAAGGTTTTTAAAATAAAAATATTTTGGGTATTACTTCCAAAGTAAATATAGATCGTATTTATTTTCTTTAAAAAGGACAGGATGCGTATTAAAATTTATGCGAAATTTTACTACACACATTGAAAACCGGCCAAATATCAATAATTTATTATAATAATAATTTATTATTAGTTTTCTTCATAGAAATATGTGTCCATAATGAATTTTGTTTATTTGTTAATTTAAAATTACTCTATTCAATACAAAAACACTTTGATAATTTATAAATTATTTAAATCAAATGTTGATAAATACCTGGTATCAGATTATTTTTTAAATTAATTATTAATTAATTAATGAACATTTAAATACCAATTTATTATTACTATTTTTTTTTAAATTATAAAGAAATGTATCTATTAACTACTATCAAATAATAATAGCCCAGTCATTTGTGCTCGAAAAGAAGGTTGAAAGGAAAGTTTTCCGGAAGATTTAAAAATTGGTTATTTAGAATTCGACGTGTTCTTTTAAATTTTTACTTTGCCACCTCGTATCTTTGCCGCTTGCTTGAAAAAATGGCGCCCAAAAACAATTTTTTAAAAATATCGAATCATTTTACAATGAATGTGGATGAAATAACAGTTTTAATAATACCTAAAGGACAAAAAATATTGTAATTGTAATTAAAAATAAATTTGGTTTAAGTTAAAAAAACCAACAATATTGTGATTGTAAGTCTGCAATTTTACTTGCAGCAATCTTTCTTGCCTGCAAGTTTAATTGCCCTGTAATACACTTTGTAATTCCAGTTCCAACTTGCATGATATCAACCAAAGAAAAATATAAAATATTACATAGTACAATTAAAATTAAACTTAGCTCCTCGCACACGACATTATAATATATATTATGTAATAAAATTTAGAATACAAAGAAACAACACACAAATGACTTCTAAAAACAATCCAGCTTCTCTAGGGAATTTAAAATGTGGATTAGTATGAAAAAAGTAATGCAACTGGCAATAAAAATCGAGCAGGACCGATATTTTGAAACAGCAATAGATTTGCGTGAAACGTGCCTTCATATTGCATATTGCACGTAGAACTGCAGACTGTAACATGGGCTTAAATAAAAATAGATTTGGTATTGTAATTACAATATGTTTGGTCCTTTATTATTCAAAATGCTACTTAACCCCTACAGTTATGTAATAAATTTCCTTTAATTTACGTAGTAACTTATTGTTGTATTAATGTGTAAATTCGTTCCAACAAAAAAATCCACAAATTTTACATTGATATCTTTTATAGCTTTCCCGGAGCAACACACGAAACTCTCCTTCAAAAGTTCAATACCGTCCACAAGGACAATAAGTTTTACAAGAAGCCTCAAAAGAAAGAGGCCGCCTTTATCGTGGAGCACTACGCCGGCAAAGTGAAATACCAAGCGACCTTCATGAGGGAAAAGAATTTGGACTTGATGCGTCCCGACATAGTGGGCGTGCTCAAGAACAGCTCGATGGCCTTCGTGAGGGAGCTGGTCGGAGCCGATCCGGTCGCCGTGTTTCGCTGGGCAATCGTGAGAGCGTTCTTCCGGGCGTACTTTGCTTTCCACGAAGCCGGAAGGAAGCACCGACAGGGCAGGGTGGACGGAAACAAAAACAACATCCAACAAAGATATCAGCGAAACCACATTCCGAACGAAAATCTTATAAGGTACGTTGAGAGGAGACTAAATTTCGAGTTTTAATCGAAGCGATTCTACAATGCTATCGACACGATTAAAAACCATTAAGCACCACAAAAATATCGTTTTTGTCAAAAATTACAGAATTAAACTCCGTGTATCTATGTATAAATTAATTCTATCAAAGTTGTATTCCATCTTGTTGTTAAGTTGTCAGATGCATTGTTTTGCAACTATCTATTATAACCTGATAATTATCAGCATTGTTGAATCACTTTGATCGCTAAACACAGAATCTGCAAAATGGTTTTTATTTTTATTTGTTTGGTATAACTACCAACTAACACATTCGTTTTATTTTGATTTTACAAAGTGTGACGTGCTTATCTGCTATTATATTAATTCACTAAAAAATGACGATATAAATTTAGTAACCATATGTTCGATTCTGTAGCCATCTAGTGACAGTTTCGGCTGTGAACCTCACAATTAACAGAATTGCGTAAGTTGAATTATCGGTGGACGTTTTTTTCCTATAGTATCATCCCCATTCTTCAAATCATGTCTTTGTTTATTAAGTGTGTAGTCTCTGAAGTACAATGATTTTGTGTAGTGAATCGCGGTAGTGATGTTGGTAGCGAATATTTCTATTCGAATTTAGCAGAAATTTCCGAGTTATTCGGTCTTAAAAAAACGATAAAAAATTCGCGCGAATATTTTACATTATGTCAACCCGGCTCATAATCACTGTCACAGAACAGATGATCACAATTTTCCGAGTTTTTATGCTGTTTGTTATAAAGTTTATAATAGGTTCAATCAACGGTAGTCTTGTTCCTAAAGAGCATTTGGACAGGGGCATGCGCAATAGTAAAGTCGCAACTAAATTTTCGTATTGCGCATGCGATTTTGGTATTGCGCATATCCCGGACGTCAATTCGACAGTTCCAATTCTGGGTAGGAGCAAACTTTATACTAATGACTCAGTAGTGAGGTTAAGTTCATGTCGTGAGATCTGCAAATATTTTAGTGTTATAACACCTAATAACAAAATAGTATATTATTATACAAGAGATAACGTAGGCTATTATTCATAAGGATGCCAATCATCCGAGTGAATAATGCGCATAATCTCGATTTATACTATACTTTTTCTATTTGTATACCATAATAAGGCGACAGTACGATACGCAAATATAATTTACTGTTCGATTTTTTCTTAAAATGCTGACAAATAGAAAAAATTGTACAAAGAACTAATGTCATTTTTTCGCACAAGGACAATTTACAAAACGAACGACGAAGGAACGAATTTTGTAATGGACGAGTAGTATACTATTATCTATCTATCTATTATCTGAAATCGGCCAATTACTGATACAACGTGAATAATGAGTTCAGTATATACGAAAAAATCCAATATTATGCAAAAGGAGTATATAAAAGAGTTTAAGTGCATCTAATTAATTTATTGCTTTATTTTATTAACAAATATACTATTCTATAATTTTACTAAAATTAAGTAAAATTATGTACCTAAAATTTCATAAATTCTCAAAAGTTTCCGAAAAATTCGGAAATTTCATGCAACATTACAACAATTCGGAAATATCAACATCAGCGACTATTAGTATTGTCATTTTTTAACATAGACATGAGTATCTTTGGCCCCTCTAAAATTCAATACCTAACAATAATTTTTGTCGCATTATCTTTAGGATACTGTGTTAGTTACATATACTGCAACAGCTACTTCTACTATTCAATGTTGTTATTCATCATCATATAGCATGCTGTTATCTTTTCTGATTGTGCATGGTGATTTCCAATACTATGATAATGTTTAAACCTAATAATCTTCGAGTAATTTCTTTTTCACAATTTTTTAAGGGGACATCTAGGACATACACACTACATACAGTACGGACGTAAAAACTCCCCCCTTTTATTTTTAGAACCGATAGGTTAGGAATCGGAAATTTTATTATGTTAAACTTCAATACTACTTTTTGACATAAACAATTTGTTGTTATGTATAACCATAGAGGTATTTCTATGTGTATAACCTATAGTTATGACCTTTTAAACCATGTTTTTGTGTATTTTAAGATGTTAAAATAAATATTTCGACAGATTAAATTATTTCGAAAAATTAAATTCATATTCTAAAAGTGCATGCGCAAAAGATTAAAAGTTCACGCGTGATGGCAAATTGAGCATCAATTGAGGACTCATCTGTCGCGTTCACGCGGTCACGTGAATTTAATTTTCACGCGTGAATTCATAGTGAATTAATTTTGCTATCTAGGTTTTGATTTTTTTAAAGCAAACTATAATATTCATTTTATAGCCTTGTCTTATTTATTTATATCATCTTTTGACATCCAAAGTGTTGTTTTTTTAATAAGTGCTAAGCAACTGAAACACTCTTTGTAGGTTTGAAAGAAAATAGTACATTATAGACTGGGCAGAGAAAGCTCATATTATAGCCGAGCATACATTTCAGGAAATTAATAAGCTTTCGCCGCCGGGTTTAATATTATATTTTATTTCAAGCATTTAACTTAAAAAATCAATTTATATAAAAAAATCTGCTTCATAAAGGCTTAATGACCTAAAAACTGCTGAATGAAGAGATATTTACAATATGTAATTAGAAAACAGCTGCTATTTATTATTACTTCAAATAATTATTAATAATATAGTAGTAATTAGGGATGCACCGGATCAGGTATTTTGCCGATCCGGCCGGAACTGGAATTTCGGCCGCTGGCCGAACCGTATCGCCGGAATTCCGGCCGGATCGGGACCTAAATTTAAAATGTATGTGCATGCCTGTTTTTATACGTAAAACATTGAAAATATTGAGGCTGATTTATTTTTACTTTTTTTTAAACTAGCTACAGAGTATTTATTACTATAAATTTTACCTAGATATAAATTACTGTTTATTTAAATATTAATTTTTAATTAGCGTTAACAAAATTAAAACAATTCTACTTATTCAATTGGAGAATAGCAGCCACCTGCCAATAATAAAAAAATTAAAAAGAAGTCGGGGAACCACAGCCGCCGGTCTATCATAGGCAAGGAAACACGCACACCCTTTACTGTTGACCAATTACAAAATATATCTGGAAAGCGATCCGGCCGGAGCGATCCGGATCGGCCGGATTTAGTGGTACCGCCGGAATTCCGGTGCATCCCTAGTAGTAATATATGTTTTTTGTTTGGTTTTTAACTGTAATTTAGCCAAATTGACGGTAGGCAGTTGCTGAATTAAACATCCTTATATTATTATTTTATTATAAAAAAGGCGGCGGCGCACCTTGTTTGGATCTTCATTCGTTTTTATTTTATTTTTTTTTTGTTATATATTTTTTTGTTTACTATCGATTAGCAAACAACGAAACACGCTGTCGTTTAATCGAATCGGCCGCAACAACGAACACGACGTTCCTAGCAACAACAATCGGCTCTCATGGCCGCAACTCTATCAACGAAACAGATCGACGAACAACAATAGCATCGCTAAAAATAACAGCCAGGAGGAGGCGAACAGACGAAAAGACGCGATCACGACCGGCAACAGCCCGAAGTCGTCCGGCTTAGAGAGGGTACTGTGTCCGGACGAGGCACGGGCCATACAACGTGCCAATCAGATTGTCATGTATGTCGGTGGGATACTACATCTAATAAGTGCAGGGTGCGGGACTATTTCTTTTCTCACCTAACATACCAGTCCTAAATATTTAGGTTTTATTAAATAATAAAACCGAAATATATTAAATAATAAAACCTAAATATACCTCAAATATTGCAATTCATTGGGTTAGACATTTTTTTGCGATCGTTATATTGAAACTCCTTGCAGCTTTTCCGCCATCTTGGATTAAGGGGTGAATTCGCAAATAACAGCCTTATTTTTTAATTTTATCAAAAAACAACTCATACCATTTTTGACAAGAAAAATTAGTTTTACAAATTTGTATACTTAATTATTAATATTAATTATTGTACTTAAGAGTATTTTTTTAGCGCTATTGCAAAAATTGTCATTCTCATTCAAAATTACCTATAACTGTTATTGAAAAAATAATATCATGCAAGCAATTGTTTACTTATTATAGCTAGCGTTTTACAACTTGAGTCGGCGAAAAAAAACCGGTTTTTTCCAAACAAAAACTTAAAAAAAATAGGTACTTCATAAATATGCATAAAATTTAAAATTATCAAGTATATTTATTTATAAGTTTGTAAAACTGATAAAATAAAAAATACACTTTTATTTGCGAATTCACTCCTTATTCCAAGATGGCGGAAAAGCTGTAAGGGTTCATGTTCGAAAACTCGGATATTCTAATGATATCAAAATTATTTTTTCTTACCCAATGAATTGCAATAATACTCATGCGAATTGGACTAATTGTACTGGGCTATACATATGTACATACATACTTGAACTTGCAATTTGACAAAATCATATTTAATGTCAATTTGTGCTATGTAAATAAGCAAATATATATGCGGGTAAAGGGATAAAGGACATTTAATCTTTAATTTTATACTAGTATTTTTTCATCCATCTTTTTATAATGTTTATCCTGTTCTGTATTTTTATCTCCCTATTGTTAACAAATTTACTGTTAAATTTAAAATTAAAGAAATAATTTTTAGTTAAAAGTATCATGTAATAAAATTGTAAAATCTTTAATTTTACAAAGTTAAGAATTTGAAAAAGATTTATAGTATTATAGAGTTCTGCTTTTGTTTCTTTGGTTCATAATTTACATAAAATAAACAGTTCCAAATGCATATTTTACAGCAGCTTCAAGCATTATTTATAAAGGTTTAAGAAAAATTGTTGAATTTTAGGATTCAAATATCGCAAATGTAACCTTTTAATCAATTAATTACTTTTAAGTCTAATGGTTAAACATTAGACTTAAAAGTAATTGTTTGGTTAAAAAATCATTATATATTTCGCATTTAACTAAAATGTGTTTTTCTATAAAAAAACGTTTTTTTATAAGAAAACACCTTTTAGTTTAATGCTAAACAAATAATGATTTTACACATTTTACTAAATTAATAATTTACTGTTAAAAGTGACTAGATTTCACTTTAATTTTCTGAATCATTTTTAAAAGTAAATTACCTTATCGCGATTCGATTTAAAAATGTTTCAAATTATTTCCTCCCCCTTAAAAACTGAATGGTGCTGTTTACAACAAAAATTAAAATACGGTATACAAGATGTTATGTTATTGCGAGAGCTTGGACTGGGTTCTAGATAACACAATGATGATGATATATAAGTATATTTATTCAGTATCAAATACAGACATTGAACTATGAATTAATGTCTATGACACATATGACAATTAATGACTGTCATCGCCAACCTTTATTAACTGAGCCATTGGACTCAATATCACAACACGCCCCTTCTTAAGATACATTTTTTTATATATAAATATAATAACATTTTAGGGCTAATTAGTTACACAAATAGCATTTTGAGCTGGACACTTAAATCTATGAATTTGTCCACATTTATTACATTCATCGCTACTGACCTTCTTCTTGAAGTTTTTACCTACTGCAACCTGCGCTTTACTGCCTGACATATAGCTGCTTTTTCCTGCTGCTTTATTGGAATGACTACTCCAACTTTTACCTGAAGCCTTTCTGATCTCGCAGATTGTTGTTTCGTATTTTGAAAGCATTTGTGCTTGACTCTGGGTCATTTCAATGGATTGTGCTATTTGGACTGCTTTATCGATTGTTAATCCATCTTCAAGCAATAACTTTTCTTTTATTACTCGATTTGTTGATTTTAGTCCAACAATAAACATATCTGCTACAAGACTTTCTCGTAATTCTTTAAATTCACATGAGAGACTCAAATTTTTAATAGCTGTGACAAAATCTTCAATAGATTCTTCCTGTCCTTGCACCCTTGACAAAAATTTATGACGTTCAACTGTTAAATTTGTTTTTGGTTTGCAATGTTCTTCATACTTTGACAAAACTTCATCGTACTTGCATGTCAGGCGCAAAGTATTTTTCTACTCTTGACGCGCAGTCAGGTTTTTGGATGATAAAACTTAATGAATACAGCTCTAAATTGTGTACATTCGCAACGCCTTTTGGTCGATTCAGATTTTTGCGTTTACCTTATGGTATTTCGTGCGCACCTGAAATATTTCACAAAACAATGTCAGAAATATTTGAGGATATACCCGGTGTATTGATTTATATAGATGATATACTCATTTATAGTGACAGTCTTGAAGGTCATAATAATATTTTAAAGTCAGTCTTAAAAAGGGCATGGGAAGTCAATTTAAGGTTTAATGCTAAAAAATGTAATTTTTTGTTACCAGAAATAAAGTATTTAGGTCACATTTTCAGTTCTAAGGGCATGTGTTCTGATCCAAAAAAAGTCAATGCTATATGTGATTTGCCAAAACCAAAATGTGTGGGTGATGTCAAACGATTCTTAGGTATGATCAATTATTTGGGACAATATATTGATAATTTAGCTGATAAGACGACAAATTTGCGTATGTTGTTAAGAAAGAATGTAGCGTTTCATTGGTCGGAATTACATCAAGGTGAATTTGATAACTTAAAGCAAATAATTATTCACAGTCCAGTCTTAACCTTTTATAATAAAGAATTAGAAATAACGCTATCGGTAGACAGTTCACAATTTGCTGTAGGTGCAGTTATTTTACAAAATAAGAAACCTATAGCTTATTCCTCTAAGTCACTGTCAGAATGTCAAACTCGCTATGCCCAAATCGAAAAAGAGTTATATGCGATACAATTTGGATGTAGTCGATTTCACCAATATATTTATGGTCATAGAGTCCTAGTCGAAACTGATCATAAGCCTCTCGTAACTCTTTTTGAAAAGTCTTTGTCAGAAGTTCCGTCACGTCTTCAACGCATGATGCTTAATCTGCAGAAGTACGACTTAAAAGTAATGTATACTCCAGGTAAATATTTATTTATAGCGGATACTTTGAGTAGAGCCCCTGTAGAGCCATCAGAAGATGACACTATAGAGGAGGAGGAATTACATATACACATGAATTTACTTACTTTAAATTTGTCTGTAACTCCTAATAAGTTAGAACAAATTAAAAAAGCTACTAAAAGCGATACGGACTTACAATTAATAATAAGTTACTGTAAAAACGATTGGCCTTGTTCTAAAAATAAGATCCCTACTTCAGTTAAGCCATATTATAATATTAGACAAGATATACACCACATAGATGGTTTAGTTTTTAAAAATAATTTACTTATAATACCAATTTCTATGAGAAAAGAAATAATAAATAAAATACACGAAGGTCATCAAGGCATTGACAGATGTCTACGTCAGGCTCGAAATGTTGTGTATTGGCCTAATATCAGTGTCGATATTAAAAATACAGTAGAACAATGTCTGGCATGTTTAAAGTATAGAAATTCCAATCCGAATCAGCCATTATTACCTCATGAACCAGCAAAATTGCCTTGGCAAAAACTTGGAATGGATTTCTTTTATTATAATAATGCTAATTATCTTGTGGTTGTGGATTACTATTCTAATTATTTTGAGTTGTCAACTGTCCATTCTACCAATTCCAAAGAAACGATTCAATTTTTAAAATCAATATTCTCTCGTCATGGCATACCGTTAGAAATTATGTCAGATAACGGTCCACCGTTTAACTCTCAAGAGTTTCAAAATTTTGTTCATTATTGGGATATAAAGCATAATACTTCCAGTCCGCACTATCCTAAGAGTAATGGTTTAATTGAGCGTACAGTCGGTATAGTCAAAAATATTTTTAAAAAATGTTTAGAAACCAATACTGATCCATATATTGGATTACTTCAATATAGAAATACTCCTAAAGCTAGTGGATATTCTCCAGCAGAACTTTTAATGTCAAGGACATTAAGGACAAGACTACCTTTTAGTAATACAGCCTTAAAACCAAAATTGATAAATTTTGAAAATTATGAAAAATTTGTAAAGGGGAAAATAAACAAAACTAAACGATATTTTGATCAAAGAAGTCGCATTTTACCTCAATTATCGATTGGTGATAATGTGATGTACAAGAAAAATCCTACTTCTCCATGGGCTCCAGCCCTAATTACAGATGTAGACTCTACCTCTTCAAGGTCATTTATAGTTCGTACACCAGAGGGTGTAGACTACAGACGAAACCGTCAGCACATACTAAAACCTAAAAATTCTCCAGTTGCTCAGAAACGTGAACAAAGTCCTAACTCTATTGACTTAAGCCCTGAGCAAACAAGTGTTAATAATAATTATACCACCAGAAGTGGTAGGCAGGTTATAAAACCAAGAAGGTTTTCTTTTACTGAAAATGACGTAACTAATTAGCCCTAAAATGTTATTATATTTATATATAAAAAAAATGTATCTTAAGAAGGGGCGTGTTGTGATATTGAGTCCAATGGCTCAGTTAATAAAGGTTGGCGATGACAGTCATTAATTGTCATATGTGTCATAGACATTAATTCATAGTTCAATGTCTGTATTTGATACTGAATAAATATACTTATATATCATCATCATTGTGTTATCTAGAACCCAGTCCAAGCTCTCGCAATAACATAACACAAGATATATCAAATAATATACAGAGGAAATAGTAAAGCAATTTTTTTCCACTTTTTTGTTTATTATAACCAAAATTCAAATATGACAAGGACCTGAATGCTTACAAGTATACTTGTATATATTATATATGTATATATACAGCCCGTTCAGAGTAAAACCGAATATAGGGAAACGTATAGTGCGTGGCCACGCCTCCCTCCAACGCGCGACACAGTAGCTAAGCAAATAGCCTGCATCGCTAATATGATTTTTTGCATTATTATCATTTAATTTTTAAGGTCGTCTTACCTGCTCGACCTTTCGTCATGTCGTTTATCACACAACCTACTGTGACGCGCGTTGGAGGGAGGCGAGGCCACGCCCAAAACGTTTCCCTATATTCGGTTTTACTTTGAACGGGCTGTGTATATATATATATATATATATATATATGAAATTTTTAAACATTTTGTATTCTAGAATTTTTCTAAGTTTTTTATTTTAAATTATTTTCTTTTTTTATGTTTAGCAGTACAATCTGTAATTTTTTGGCATGTCTGTTAACAATCTTTAATGCATGTGTGTGAACTAACTTTTAACTGATAAAATAAACTGGGTTGTTTGAACTTATTTAACTATTCCCTTTATACAGGAAGAACAAATCTTTCCGACCACGCGAACGCAGCAAAAAAGGCCTGAAAAACTTGCAATCCGTAAAAACCCTCGCAGGTCGCACTGGCATGACAGCAACCAATCAAGGCCAGCTGGGCAAAGCCAGAAAACAACCGATGACTGTCACTGCGCAATTCCAACAGTCTTTGCATTCCTTGATGGACACCTTGAACCAAGCAAATCCGTTTTTTATTAGGTGCATTAAATCGAACGCAAACAAAATATCCAACGAGTTTGACGACGAAACTGTGCAAAGGCAGTTGAGATACACGGGGATGCTGGAGACTGTTAGAATTAGACAGGCTGGGTTTAATGTGAGAGTCACTTACGACGAGTTTATTCAACTGTACAGGATTCTTTTGCCAAAAGGACTGCTTAGTTCTCAAAGCGATGTTAGAGATTTTCTGGCCAAACTAAACCTTAACAGGTAAAGTATTAATTTATTTGGTAAACTGTTCATTAATTCATTGTTAATTCCTTATTTAGTTTAAAATTGTCACAATTTGTGAGATTCATTCTTTATCTAAAATACGCCAGTAAAAGGGTAAGGGTAGAAGGGGAAGATTTTATATAGGGAACAATACTTTTGTACCGGTTCCAATTTTATTTTTTTAATCAAAAGAGCAGAAATTGAATAATATGTATTTTGATTTTGGATTGATCCGAACAACCCCCTTACGTTTTTTTTAATAACATGAATCGTTTGTTGCACAGAGGCGAACAGACTTAAAATAATCTTAATTTAGAGCTACATTTTTTATAAAACCTATTATGCTATGTTGCCTAAAAATATTTAAAAAACCTCAACCATTTTTTGGAAAATAGTTTTCTTTTTTTTTACTCTTGCTCTATTTTTTAACAAAAATTTTCTCTTGAAATTTTTCGCTTTTTAAATTTCCCATAAAATGACCATTTACTAAGTAATGTGGTCAAGTGTAGGCTGGACAATATACCACATTTCAACGTTTCTTTAAAAATAAGATTTGAACCTTTTACAGCCTTATAATTTGTTTTGCATATATTCATGCAACAACGCATTAGTGAGCAAAATAAATTTTATAAAAAACTTGCTCTAAAATTGCCTGTATTATGAATGTATAATAGTCAATTATGCTCTTTTGATTAAAAAAATAAAATTTCAACCAGTATAAAAAAAGTATTAGGTCGACATACGCTTTTACTGTCCTAAAATAGTTCATAACGTTTTTGTTTTGCTGAAGTTTGCGTTCATAAAAGTCACGTGACGTCTAAGGGGTGTGGTGGTTAAAGTTATGTGGCGTATGTGCAGTGGCAAATCGTGGGGGTAGACCCCTAATTGACTAAAGGTTTATTAATTAAATTAATAGTTATCAGATAAAATTTCGTACATATCAACTTAGGCCTATACAGAATACAAGCTTTAAAAAACAGTGATTGAAATCAAACAAACTTATTATGGTCCGTCCATATAAGCAATTCAAAATTCATATTAATTTTGTCAGAGCTATTTATTATACTACTAAACAAGCAATTCGAAATTTAATAAAGATTTAAATTACTGGATACTGGGTCTGTTGGCGACAAAAAAGGACAAAAAATGTCCCGGATTTTTTTGACTGAATCTTATACTGATTATTTTTTAATATTTTTAAAAACAACTTTTAATTTAACATTATTATAGTGGGAATAATTTTGTATTTTTTTTATTGAAAGAACGTATTTTTTATTTAACTTCTGTCACCAATCAAACAAAGCTTAATTTCAAGAACACTGTACAGTAAGAATAAGAATAAGAATAAGTTTATTTAAAAATAAAATCGTCATCACAGAACAGTCCCTAAGCTCTATGAGCTTGTGTTGGCTATTTTCAAAATTTACATTTATATTTCATTTACATTTACATATAATGCTACTTTTCACTAATTATAATTTGTAATCTCACAATTTCTTTAACATAAATTTACCTTAGTGATATAAAATTAACAATGATTACCTTTAGTGGTCACATTATAATATCATACATTATATTGTATACAACAATGAGGTACCAGAAACCACATAAAACATAAAATAATATAATAAAGCAGAGCCAGGTACAGAGTAAAATAAGATAGAAGGCAAAACAAGGTCAGGTACAGTGTCAGTACAATTACAATTCTAGCAATGCAATCCTCGAGCAGATATTGGCAAAATTTGTCTGTGTCTATTGTTTAATGTTTTTAGAAAATCTTAAGTAATTGCAGTGTTTTAGTTCAAAAGGCAGTAGATTAAATAGTTTTGGGCCTAGATAACAGAAATGTCTCTGTGTTGAAGTAAAGTGAAATCTGGGTATCTCAATATTTACACCCACTGATCTAGTGTTATGGCAGATGTTGACTTTACACTTAGGAGACTTATGCATATACTTTAATGTTGAGATTATATATAATTCCTTAATTCTTAAAATATTGCTTTCTTGAAATATTTCAACAGTTGGAGTCATTCTAGGTTTACCAAGTAGTACTTTAATAACATATTTTTGAGTAATATTGAGGGGTTCAAGCAGAGTTTTACATGCAGATCCCCAGGCTATAATACCATAATTTAGGATTGACTGTACAATTGCGTTATATATCATTATTAACATTTTTGTTTTCAAAATATTTCTTAATGCGTAAAATTTATATATCGTTCTTTGAATTTTACCTATGCTGCTCTTAATGTGCTCATCCCACCTTAGCATGTTGTCCATACAGAGGCCCAGATATTTCGTAACATTTTTTGAGAGATAACACGTTCGCACTGACAGTTTGTTAATTGACTTTTAAGACAGCATAGGCTATGGATTTTTAAGGTGGTTTTTGGTGCTGGGTTTACGGAGCATTTCGTGAAGGCTAGGTAATGGGTCTTTGAGTAGTTCAACGTGAGCAGGTTGCTGTCAAGCCAGAGCCTAAGTTTACTAAGGGCTAACTCCAACCTTTTTAGCACCTCTTCCCATTTTGTCCCATTGATCAATACCACAGAGTCATCAGTGTTCTTACTTAATTTGGTAAAATGACAATTCCACTCCTGTCAATTTAAACCTATTAAAAACGGTTTGCTGACGGATAAAAAGGAAGGAACAGTAATGCAAGTGACCAAAATTGGCGAATATTTTTTCTATTCGCCTTCTCTATGGTAACGGATGTATTATTGTATAGAGAAATGCCAAAGTGACACAAAAATGACTTACTTTATTTACCTTTGGAATTTTTACTTTTAACTTTTTTCGTCCAAATTTCTTCTCGTCAAATTAATACTTAAACGTTTTCGTGAAAAGTCAAAAAATATCCGGCTAAATCGAACATCTAGAGGTATTACATTTGAAAATATAATATTGAAAAAGTCTACCTGTCAAAAAATAATCCAACAAATACCACAAAAGTTTGATAAATTGAAAATAATTATTCAGATCTTTTCTCAAACCCTAGCTATTGCCTTGTGTCTATTGCCAGGCAACACGTTTTTGAAAATCTGTCAAATACTCTTGTGATATTACTACCATTGATTAAGGTGTGTACTTCTTTACTCAACGTTACCACTGAAAATATTACCAGTCTAAAAATGTATCTCAATGACTATGAACTATTTTCATAATATGTTTTTGCTGGTTTTGCCATGGTGATATTTGCATAGGTCTCCATTTTTCAAAATGTAACCTGAAACAAACACATTGAAGTCATTTAAAAGTCAATAATAGAAATCCCTATATAATAGTTATTAAAATTGTTTTTGATTAAATCTAAATAAAGCAATTATAAAAGGAAAATAGGGCTACAATGTTTTTAATACCTTTTTATTAAAGTTGTAAAAGAATACTTACGGCTTTATATAAATATGTTGTGTCCGTATTTTTTAATAGTTTTTCATATTGTCTATGCAAACATTTAAATAATCAGTTTAAATACTATACAGGAAGTAACATAAAGGTTTAAAATAATTTAAAAGGTGGGTTTACTGGTAAAATATAATAGGTTTTCGTTTAACAGTTAAGGGAGTTTATTATTGTAAATAATTTAGGTATTTATTTTTCAATACTGGATCACAACATTATTAATACATTTTATAGAAGTATACCTAAGTAGTGGAAAACTGATTTATACAAATGTTTAATTTTATTTTGTTTAAGATATAATAAAAAATTGCAAGAAATACAAAGAAAACGTAAGAGAAAAGTTAATAAATAAAAATCAATTTTTTTGAAATATTTTAGAAAACCCTACGACAATAACCGTTTGTATACTATTATATATACGTTTGTATACCTATAGCCTATAGGCTATAGGCCATCAAGTAGCTAGCATTTTTTTTACTTCAACTGTATTATATTAATTTTACCAATTCACCAGAATAAACATTATGTGCGTGATAGCCACGTGCTCGGTACGGTATAAAACTTTCATGCTGCAAACTAAAATTTAGTTTCCTTATCATCTATAGTGTTTAAAAGTTCATATAAATAAAATTAGTATTTCTTTGTTATTTGTTCTGTTTTCGTTCCGTTCCAGTTCTGATAGTTTAAGAAAATTATTAAGTGTACTTTTCTGAAAGCTCAGTGGGATTTTTATTGTTACTAACAACCTTGGCCTCTCGTGGAATTAAAAATAAAGGATCTTAAATGTAAACTATTTCACTTTTTTTGTTGTCTGTCAGTCAGTGTTGAGTTTTAACCCCCGTAGGGGATAAAAAAGCCAAGTCCCGTCAAAGATAGATTCAGCTATTTCGGAGATTAGCCTGGACAAACAAATAAGTGTTTCAATTTTATTTATATGTATAGATTAGTGATGCAACGAATAGTACTTTTACGAATACGTTTATCAAAACTACTATTCGGCAGATAGAAATACAAATAACTCGGCATATTAATAAAAATATATTAACTATTAAATATATTTAATCGTTTTTCATTTATTTTATTCTAGTAACATTTACAACTGGCAAAATTTTGTTAAGAAATATCAACATCTAAAGGTTCGCTGGCGACAGACAATTTTTATTTTCATTCCGGATATTCTCAGCCGTTAAAAAAAGCCTTTCAGAGGCGACTGTACTCGGTTTAAATACAAAATATTTCTGGGCGAGTTTTTTTAGCTTTGGAAAATGTATATACTTTCGCCAGAAGGCCAATGGATCAGCAGACAGCGATAATCTTGGGGAACGTGCGAAGTCTTAGGGAATCCCCCGGAGACCGGGGAGTCCCTACCATTGCGGCTAAAGCGTTCGGATACGTGTGTATCCGAACGCTTTAGTACAGTTAAACGGAGTAGCGTTTAAAATATATTTTTGTAAACCTTTGTAATTATTTAGGACACACGGTGGTAAAAATATCTTTAATGGCATAAAGTTGAATGGGTGTATAGGAGGGTAAGGCTACATGAGGTTAATTTTGTCTAAATACGAATAAATTTCCACGTCACCCGGGAGGTATTATTCTGAGACGCCTTGACTTTTTTTAAAATGACTGATAGCCCTACTAAACCATGATAATAAAAAAATAAACTAAAAAATAAACAAAACAGTGAAAATATCATAGCACACAAATTGCGAAACTCAAAAACATAAATTCGTTTTTTAAAACTTTAAAATATAAATCGGGAACATAAAAATATATTTATATGGATGTATAAAATATACATATAAAACAAATAAAATATCAGAGCAATCGGAATACCCACCCCCAAACTTTTGAAGCGGCCTTTGTTCATAAATACTTCCACATAGCTACTTATAGGTTTCGTACCAACATATGTTTGAAGATCGTGAATATTGCTTACCCTGCCTCTTATCGTTAAATATTGATAAAATTTATTGCCTTCTGAGACTGCCCAATATCTGTCTTATTTCATTTTCGTTTCTTCTTAAAAAAAGCGTTTTAATTAATGAGAGAATATTGTCATGAACAGGGTTTATTTAAAAAACAAAAATAATTAATTAAAGAAAACTTACCGGTATTTTGAAAACCTAACCTTAATTGAAACTCAATATGACTTGATTAATAAAAACTGCTAATTCTACCTGTGTAGCAATGTATCTACTCTTGTACACCACAATTATAAAATAATAAATTTTACTAATCGAGACAAAAACTATAAAAGATCAGAAAAATAATAATTTAATCTGAATCAAAACAAAAACACCCGTTCTACACACACTGCCACACAAACTGCCATCCACCACATCTTCAGTCATGTGATATTAAACCACCAATTAGAGAAAACCCAAGCTCCAATTCTCTCGCCTCACGCAGCAACAAAGACGCGAACTCTCCTGATATAATATATAATTTATATTATTTAATATATATTAGTAGGTAAATAGTTTAAGCTCTTTGCTGGTAAGTAGGAGCTTCACAGGATATAAATATTTTGTCTCTGTTCGCTCTACTCTCAACGCTGGTTGAATATACCAAAAGAAGACAATTATATGTTTTAAATGTTATGTTTATAATATTTACACTAAATAAGCAAAATAAAAAATGGCCTTTTCTAGTAACTATTACATATTCTCTTTAAAAATTCTTCTAAACAAAAATCAATTTAAATGTGTATTATTTTCCCGTAAGGGAATAGGTAAAACTTGTTTTTAATTTTCTTTGAAATTTTTGTAAAAAAAAGAACTAAAATATCATCTATCTTTTAACTATTTTCAGGGACAACTATCAATTGGGTAAAAGTAAAGTTTTCCTCCGCGAATCGGAAAAAATCAAACTAGACGGCAAACTGCACTCTCAAATAATTGCGAGTATAATGACCCTTCAGCGTTGGTTTAGAGCCTGTTTGGACCGTAGACGATATTCGAGAACGAAACAGGCTGTACTAACCATACAATCGTACTACAGAATGTACTTGGCGCAGAGAGAATACAAACGACTTTTGTCCGCAATCAAGATACAGCGATTCTGGCGCGTCCACAAATGCCAAAGCGAATTCAACAGGGTAAAACAGGTTGTCGTTGGGCTACAAGCGCGCTGTAGAGGATTTTTGTTAAGGAACAGTAAAATGTTTCAGAAAAATCACGATACCAAAATTTCTAAGCAGGTAAGAATTATAGCGGCCCCTCGTGTGAAACAATAATAAAATGTGGAAATTGTTTCAATACAAAAATACAAAATTATTGAATAGTTTGTTGGTGCCAATATTTAAAAAGATTATATGCACGTCTGTACTGACCTTTTGATTTCGCCGTCAGAACACAATTTTGTTGTAGTATGCAACTCGTTTATAAACTTTTCTAGACACTCGTTTTATCAAACACTCGCTCGTGGGCTTTGCTCGTGCCTACATAATATGCTATTTTCGGTCAAATTTTATTGTAATTTAACGAATCAAAATAAAAATACCATAAATAACAGAAATCCTCACGCGATGTTCATAAGTATTATATAATTATAATATGTATTTACAAAAAATTTTCTTTAAGTATAGATTCTTTACTATCTTACCTTAATATGTTACTTTAATTAAAGTGTTTATGTCATCTATTGTTATGGTTTATTGACATTACATCAAAGATAATAATAAACAGTAAATTCAACGGTATACATTTTGTTTCTATTTTTGCAAAATTTAGTTGCACGTTAACCATTTTAGATAGATGTCGGTTTCCGTATTTTATCCTTGATTGTTGGACACTTAAAGGTATTTCAGTTTAACAAGATCCTTGTCACTCTTGTACGATTTTTTTAACGGGGTTTAGTTTTTATAGATATTTTAAGAGCTTTTAAAACATGCTTATAAAATCATTCATCTTAATGTTTTGCTAAAATTTAAAATTTTGATGTTCTATAGAATGTATACATCTCTTAAAATATTAATTTTAGAGATTCGACCTTTTTGTAAAGTACCAAACTTCCTACAAAAAATATTTTACCGTTTACAAGTTAACATTAAAAAACTATCAATTTCAATGTTTGTAAAAAATTACAGATTGTCAGTGCTCTTCCTCCACACTTGAAAGTAAAACATGGAAGTTCCGATGAAGCATTCATTAGCAAAGAATCAAGTCAGGAAGACTTGGGGATAGATCAACACTATAATAGAAGAGTATTTTGTCTGGACTCGGATGAGTAAGTTTATATTTTCATTTAGTTTTTTTTTAATATTAATAAATTATTTGGTTGAGCAGAAGCAGTGGAATACAAGAAGACGACGTGGACACAACAGCTCACTACAATAAAACTACCTTGCGATCGACTTTATCCTTGCCAACTGTAACTCCTGGTCATAAACATACTTACTACAACTATTTTCCAGTTAATAGGTGAGTAAATAAGTGATACATTCTGAACTTTGATTAGGGTTGAGGGAAAAAATGTAAAATTTTCAAAAAAATTGACTTGCATTTTTTAAATTTTATTCAAATTTTACGGATACTATCCGTACACCAATATCGAGAAAAAAGTGAATTTCCGACGCGGATTATAATCATATAATATTATGATTATAATAATGGGGTAGTTAAATTTTTTCTGACCTATACTTTTTATGGTTTTATTCAAGGCGTTTTGTAATTTTAAACATTTCTGTGAAATCGGAATTTCAATTGAGTTTACCGTTTTCGAGATATTTACAAAACAAAATCTCCTAATTACGTCACTAGGCTATTGACAACGTTGCCAGCTTTTTCTATGATTGCCAGTGTGTTTAGTTTAAGATTCTTACGATAGATGGCGCCACGATCTATAATTTTAGTTGAGAAGAGGAAGAATTGATTTTTTGACGTTTCTTTTTTTCGGGTTATGTTTTTTTTAAATTTAGATTATTGAAAATCAATGTTATTGTTATGTTATTTGTAATTGATATTAGATAAGTGATTTATTAATAACGGACTCCAAAGCAGAGGAATCTTGTGGAATGGTTGGTTACATTGAACATTGGAGCTTTTAAACAAATAAAGTAAGTACCTACCTATAATTATAATCATATTTTGTCGTAAATGCATTTCATTAGTATAATGCCTAGTTCTTTATATTCTTTTAGATATATTATTATTTTTTGTAAATTTATTTCATTCATTTTCAGCTTTATTTTGCCACTTTTTTCTATGAAATATATTAAACTCTGCTTTAGACAGTTATTAGGTACCTATTTATTACATTTTATTAGGTTTCACACGGTGTTTCAATGTGTAAACCTATCAATAAAACTTTTAATTTCAGAATTTTCTTTAACCTCCTCTTCTTCTTTCACTCAACTGACAGTGACAGTATTTGTACATAACCTCTTCGGGTATTTTCTGACATAACCGAATGAAATCATTAACAAGACAACTTGACAACAGGGTAATTTTCAACCAATAGAAATCTTAGAATGTTGGTCACATGGCGGGGTTTGTGACGTCATAAAAATTTATATTTTTTGTAAATATCTCGAAAACGGTAAACTCAATTGAAATTATGATTTCACAGAAATGTTTAATATTACAAAACGCCTTGAATAAAACCATAAAAAGTATAGGTCAGAAAAAATTTAACTACCCCATTATTCCTTTTATTTTAAATCAGTAGGAATATTTTACCGGGCCGCAAAATAACATATTCGGTGCTGTATTAACATAACTTTTTAACGTTTAATAACGTTTTATTTGAAACATCGATTTTTAAAATTATAATTTTGTAATTTAACTTTATAAATCATTCACGGAAAAACAGATTTTTTGTACGATTTTTCCGGTTTTTTTTTCGACACTTAAAAACCCCAGTCTTGATATAACCCAACAGGCTGTTAAAATTTTAACAGTAACTTTTGCTTAATTTTGACGTTTTTAATTTAAATATGGGATTTGGCAAAAAAATCAACTTGAAATTAAATTGGCAGTGAAAGAAAGTGTACCTAAAAACACTAAAAAATATCCGTTTTGCATAACAACAATCGTGATAAAATGTTCCCTAAAAAAATTTGACTTGTATTTACTCAACTTTTTTGCTTTAAGGCATTAAAACGAAACCACGCGCCTGGCTTGTTTTTATAAAAAAACTTGAAGAAAATTTTAAAAAATATCGGTTAAATTTTACCACTAGTGGCATTATATACGAAAGGTACCGTGTATTAGGTACATAGTCATGTATTTCCGATGCAAATAAAAATTATTACCTTAATATGTAATATTACTTAAACATTGAAAAAAACTGAGTTTTTTTTACTTTTGGGTTTGGAATTTCTTCAAAATCTGACGTAATGAACAAATTCTGAGGTCGGATTCGAATTTAGCGCATCAAAAACCTACAGCACAGTCTAATATCAGTTATAGGCATTTTGTTGTACAGGGTAATCATATCATTAATAACACGTGTACAGGTCTGCAAAATTATAATTTTTTAAAGTTTTAATATTCGCTATAAATGTCTTAAAAGTAATCTTAAATGATAATTATATTGTATAAACCTATTCACATCTATCAGATTCCGACGACACAGTGTTACATTTATAAAGATTTGACAGTTAAGATCATTAAATGATCTATTTTATTAATTTATTAATGAATAAAACCTTACAAAAAGTATTTTATACTTTTAACTTGTAATTTTAATCGTTTTGACGTAAAATGCAAATGTACTGTTGTTTTTTATTAAAAATATTACTTTTTTGACGTTTACAGAACGAAATATATGAGTTGTAAGTAAATTGCTGCAAGTACTTTTAAAGAGCAACTAATCATCTGCTACTCTCCCCTATATAAATTGTAGTAGCGTAAAATTCCTCCCAGTTATAGGAAATTGAAAAAAATCCTAAATTTCCTGTTATTTCAATACTTAGAAGCCATATTAAGGGCTAAAGAGAATAAAAAAAATAATGTTCGTTTAAAACAACACTGTATATGTGAATTTAAAAATGTCACGTGATCCGTTAATACAAGGCTTATATTTGGAATAAGTGGTTCAAAATCTATACGTTTTATATGAACATATTCAAAAACCTTTTTCATCTCAGACTTATGTAATAATTTATTTATGTAGATAAAATATCAAAATTGGATTTAATTAATTTTGTATCTTCATTTATTACTAGAAATAAATTATGCGATTAAAAACCTTGAAAAAGAATTAACTCGCGCTATATAAAATAATTAAATAGGTGTGTTGCATCTCGCCGGTGTTCCTGCAAGCCCGCTAAGTATAAATAACGTTTGAAAGCATTAGATAAGCGGAGGTGCGTGTACGTCAGTGACGGCACGGCCGGGCATTGATCGCTCGCCCGTCTGGTTTGCAGATCTGTTCGGCGTCGCGTGCTGTCACAGTCAGGGTCGATCCAGCAACCAATGGACTCCGCCGCTGTCGCGTCGCACGGTCGGTCATCCGCTGGTTACTTGAACGTCCGCTCTTACCAAATTTTGGGGGTCTCGGATGGGGTTAAGTTTACGATGCACCTCCATAACGGCACTACAGAATCGGTAGTTTGCCATTTTTTGATAATTTTTTTAAATCCAATTTTATCACAACAAAATAAATATTTAATTGTGGGGTTAAAATTTTTATATTAGGGCGCAGAATAAAATTAAAAGCAAAATACATAAAGATATATTAAAATAAATGTAAAATAATAAAAATGAACTACTTACAAATAAATTAATTTGATTTTATACTAAACAATAAGTCAAGATGTCGAGTAGTCGGGTGACACTTCTGAAACTAAATAAAAAAAAATACCTGAGCAACTAGTTTCTAGTATAATTGGTAGTTTTAATAATGAATATTGTATTTTTGAGAATATTCTTGATTTTCAATATTAATCTTGTTTATCAGTTAATCGATTATCTGGGAAATTCAACTAGCAGCCAAAAAGATACGCAAGACAAGTATATATATTTACATATATATTATAATGACAAACTCGCTAATGTAGAGTATAATTATTTGTGCACACGAGTACGAAGGGAAAACGCGCGACGTACCCACTCTAGACAATAGCACTAACTATAGTGAACGTGCAGTGAGTACCAAGGGATGACGCGCGAGGTACCCTGTCACCAGATAGTTAGCCCAAACCTAAAAGGTTTAAACACTGAAAAGACAGTGCCGTTTATCCTTAAATGCCTTAAGTCTATAAATAACCTTTTAAATGCTAGCTAATGAATGATTTCTAGTTTATTATCTATTTAGTTTTTATTTAATACTGTTAAATAATTTAATAGGTTTAGCCTGTATAAACCCTTAATAAATATTAGATAAATAAATAGAAACAATGGGTAAATGAATAATTTTAAAATGGTAATATTAAAAATAAAATTAGTACGCTCTGTGAGAAAACTCACCAAAATATTCAAACTTCTTAAATCATCCAAAACAAAGCACATAAAACAACACAAGTTACTTTAACAGGTCACTGCGACTTTTAGACTGATCTTATAGAAAATGCGCTTAATATTTGGGGTCGATTTGTTTATGAAAAGTATCAAGTTACCTAATCGGGCCGCCTTCGACGGCTTGCCGATAACGTAAACATTCGAATTCCTAAACCTCTAAATCAGTGTTCTTTGCCTGCGTATAATTTTAAAATTAATATAGTAATTTTATATAAGAATAAAATAACTCACTATTACAGTCGGCCATCCTGCAAATATCTCGTCCCGAGATCTTAGGAGTCTAAGGACTCATCCTCTTCGGAAGAAGTTAAAACGACTTCATCCTCTCCACTAGCACTGTCGGTATTATCGGAAACTCCTCCTGGTGTACACCATGGACGCATGTGATCTACAGCGATGATTTTCTCATATTTTTTTGATCGAAGAGTTCGGTGAGAATTGTTCATGTCCATTACTATGTATCGATCATTTGGTAGGACTGTTTTAACGACCATAGGACCACTGTATGGTGCTTTTAGTTTTTTGCTTGTACCTGTTGATTGGACTTGCTTGAGGATGACAACTAAATCACCTTCCTTATAATTGTGTGGTCTCTTCCTTTTCTTATCATAGTAGATCTTCTGTTTGGTTTGGGCAGATTTAATTTTTTGAGCGGCCTTCTCTCTTGCATTTATTAAATCTTCTAACATAGATGGTATTAGACTAACTTCGTCTTTTAATAGAACGTCGCTGCCATTTCGTGGAGTAAACCCGAACATTAACTGGCTGGGGGTTTTTCCGGTGCTTTTGTTAATAACATTGTTGATGGCGAATTGCACTGATCGAACTTGTGCGTCCCAAAGTTCTTCTTCTAGGGTAGCTGTTAATAGTGCACCGAGAATGGTTCTGTTGAGCCTTTCAACTTGTCCATTTGCTCTAGGAGTTGCCACAGCATTAACAATGTGCCGAATTTTATTTTG